AACTATAACTAATAACAAGGAATTGAAAATCTTCATCGATGCATTTCAATATTTGGATCATGTTGCTGTGTCCTCCCCTGGAAGAGAGAAAAAAAAAAAAAAAACTTAAATATTTTTGGAGAAAAGAAAGATAAATCAGAAAAAAATTAACAACCTGTCTCTCCCTTTTTTTAACATAGTAATAATTCCCAGCCACAACAACAAAAAAAAATCCAATACTTTTTTGTTACAACTAACAAATACAAAAACAATCAAGAAAACAAAGAAGATGAAAAAGACGAAATACTCTGAGCTGAACAAAAAAGAAACAGAGGAGAAAAGAACAGATCAAGAGTGAAGAGACGAGACAGAAAAAGAAAAGAAAAAGACAATTTTGTCAGTCCAGTTGACGCCAGATTGGTCCAGGGTGTCGCCGGTTTCCTTGGCAACCTCCTCCCTTAACTCAAAGCCTTTGCATGTGGGATTCACGTCACGGCTGACTTGGCTGCGGCACTCGGAGACGTGTCATTCGTGTCATGGTCGACTTGAGGCAGGTCATTCACTGCATGTAAAGATGATCTGTGCATTACATTTTATGCTGTTCTTTATAAGATACCCTCATGCCCACATCACTTGCCCTGGGGCATTGCCTGATGGAGAGTGGAATGTGTAATGCTATGACTGGCTATTGTTTTGTATAAAGAGCAAATTTTAGGACATAAATCATCCACCTGCAATGTGTGGAAGATGCTGCATACCAAAACATGATGCTCTCTTGCTGCTGATGTGAACCTGTAACCTTCACTCTAGTTTATGAAGTCTGTCACCTCTTGTTGACTACTCACATTGTCTCTTGGTGCTCTGCCAGTGGGACTGGCTTGTAGTATGACACAAATAAGGCAAGTACTGAAGCCATGGGGGCATTAGCCCTGTATATTACTATATACAATCTCATCTTGGTAACAATAAGATTTGCAAAAAGGAAAGACTTTTAATTTTTTTATCCTTCAATAAAACCATACTTAATCTTGAACACAGACTGCAACATACCTTATTTATTGAAATGGACTCTAATGTACATAATTAGACTACAGGTTCAATCTAGCAAGTAAAATGGATATCATTCATATCTGAATAAGCAAAAACATTAAAATATATTTTGCATACAAGTGATATATAAAAATCACATCCCATTATTGGTGCGACATGGTATGTGTTACTCAGTGTTTGCGTCTGTAAAACTTATTCTGCCATATAGACTACCCGGAGAGGAGGCCAACACAATCCCATTTTCTCCAGGAGGCAATGAGTTAAGCCTGAGTACTAGCCTGGAGGGGTCGATGGTTGAAGAGGATTTCTCCTCCCCTTGGATAAGTAGCCAACAACATCCTCTTTCATTTGGTACTTGTAGTCAAAAGGTTAATACACTTTCAATCCCCATTTTTATTCTATTAAAATTTGTTTAACGATTGAAATGTCCGTTCTTTTTTTCAAATAAATACAGAGCCAGGAATTCCTTTAGAATCTAGAGTTTGATAAAAGGCTTGAGTGCTATGAAACTGGCATGGGACAAGATTGGTTCCCAAAACAAATAACAACTTTTGATACCCTAAACAAAATAAATCCATTATTCTACCAAAATGCCTGAAAGCCATGTCCTCTATACAGTCAATGACACACACACAGTTACATACAGAGAATATATCTATTTAGTGTACACACACACACACACACACACACACACACACACACACACACACACACACACACACACACACACATTTCCTCTAAACTTACTAAAAACAGAGATTCAGTCCCCCTACCAAAGCTTCATTGTACAGGACTGTCAGCAAGGAATGACAGTAGGCACCTGTCAGCCGCCGAGTTCAGGTAATTAATCGCTGGGTCATACCGGTCATCGCAGCTGGTTAAGATGGACCTGTTAGAGATTGGTGTGTGTGATATTACCGAGTTTTTAGTTATTGTTGTTCTAGCGATGTTTTCTGTTCTCTGGTTACATATTTAGAATATTATATCTAGCATCTAAAATAACATGTATAATTTCCAGATATTGAAGCACCACAGTAAATATATTAGGCATTAATTTATGTCATATTCTAGATATATGAGTAAGACATATGAACCCTGCTAGGCCTAAACATAACTTAAAGAGACCTACACTTCAGATCCAACTTCAGAATTAATAATATAATGTATACTGGAAGGAAAAAGGAACATGAAGTCGAGAAATTAATCACCATAATTAATTAATCCCCATCAGTTTCAAATTCAAACATTATTCATCTACTTAAAAACAAGTCTAAATGCCACCAATCAACTCCAAATTAAACATCACCTTCACTAATCTGCTCACCTTTAGGGTCGCGATTCAGGACTTCGGATTCCGTGCTGATCCGAGTGGCCATTGTCACCGGGAAGTGCTGCTCTTCCTCCTACTTGTTTTTGAGGCCAACAGGACAAGCAGGACAGGGAGCGCAAAAATCCAGAATACAGAAAATTAGCAATTTAACATTTTTCTTTATTCCAGATGAAATAAGATGAGGAAATAGAAAGGATGATAAACAAAGCATAGTACCAGAAACAGCAATAATAATTCAGATAATTCTGATGATAGCAATAATAATGTATTAATAATAATCACAGGGTAGGAACAACAAAAACATGCAAGAAAATATCAGAACTTGAATTTGAGGCTTCAAATATAACAAGACAAAGTTTTACTTCAGTCATACCTAAAATCAACTACCTTTGTCCTTATATGTATTCTCTGTGGTCCTTATCTCCTTTCTCTCCGCATCCAAAAGCCCATTTTTTTATTGTGATTGTTTTACTACTAATAATTGGGAAAAGAAATGATGACAATGCTCTAAAAGATTAACTGTTTGTCCCTCTATATCAAAGTTAACTAATTCTAGACACGGAGAATGAGAGAATTGACGGAAAGTCCACTAATAATTTTGTCTAATTTCAAGCCTTCATAAGTAGACTGCAAATGAGGGAAACAAGAACAAATGCATATACATATATACCAATGCATATTGTCATTTCTCCTTATCTTATCTTGAAGGGAAGAATGGAGAGAAAGAGAGAGAGGTAAGAGAGAGCGAGAGAGAGAGAGAGAGAGAGAGAGAGAGAGAGAGAGAGAGAGAGAGAGAGAGAGAGAGAGAGAGAGAGAGACAGAGAGACAGAGAGAGAGAGAGAGAGAGACAGAGAGACAGAGAGACACAGAGAGACAGAGAGACACAGAGAGAGAGAGAGAGAGACACAGAGAGAGAGAGAGAGAACACAGAGAGAGAGAGAGAGAGAGAACACAGAGAGAGAGAGAGAGAGAAACACAGAGAGAGAGAGAGAGAGAGAGAGAGAGAGAGAGAGAGAGAGAGAGAGAGAGAGAGAGACAGACAGAGACAGAGAGAGAGAGAGAGAGAGAGAGAGAGAGATAGAGAGAGAGAGAGGAGAGAGAGAGAGAGAGAGAGAGAGAGAGAGAGAGAGAGACAGAGAGAGAGAGAGACAGAGAGAGAGAGAGAGAGAGAGACACAGAGAGAGAGAGAGAGAGAGAGAGAGAGAGAGAGAGAGAGAGAGAGAGAGAGAGAGAGAGAGAGAGAGAGAGAGAGAGAGAGAGAGAGAGAGAGAGAGAGACAGAGAGAGAGAGAGAGAGAGAGAGAGAGAGAGAGAGAGAGAGAGAGAGAGAGAGAGAGAGAGAGAGAGAGAGAGAGAGAGAGAGAGAGAGCAAGAGAGAGAGAGCAAGAGAAAGAGAGAGATGGAGAGGGGAAAAAAAAAAAAATCAGAAAATAATAATTAAAAGTAATTCCAAATGAAACCTACATTGCCTAGCCCAAAACAGCTTAACCCCCTGCACTCACCCTTGAAAACTCTGAGGATCGACATGAGCTCCGCAATGCCCCACATGTCGGGAGGAGCCTGTCAACGGTGACATGGTGACAAGATGGAAGAAGCGAGATGCCGGCCACACATCTCCCTAGTCCTGGTCAGCTTTTGTTTATAACACGGGGGAAAGTTCAGCCAATTCTGTAAATGCATTAAAAGGCAGTCATTCCATATGAAGAAACTGAAGACTTTAAAGATCCATTACTCAGAAATATTAGGATTATACACTAGGAATGTATGCCAAATATAACCATATCCATATACATCAATATCCATATCTGTCTACCTCTCGATATATACATTCAAAAAATAATATCAAATGCCAGATTCTCCTCAGATTCCCCTTGGTTTGCCTAACTTTGGATAAATTTATGCCTTTCAACTATGCAGCTTTGCCAGATAAACAACATTACATCTAACCAAGGATAATATCACATATCAAGTTTATAATCAAAAGCACCTGAATGCAGAGTAAATTTAGCCACATCCCCAAGTCTAACAACAGCACTGAAAAATAATCTCCAAGATGACCAGTATTGAATTTTCTGTTAACCCATTCGCTCCGGATTTATGTTCTGTCCGCTGTAGTTTTATGGTGAATTTTGTTACATACAGATGGCTCCACATGTGCTCAGCCGGCAAGGAGTCTATCAGTAGGCCCTAGTTACCGATCCTGATTTTCCCATTCATTGAACTGGCGGGAAAATTAATACCATTGCTATCGATACTGTTATTATTGTTATTGATGTTATGATTATTAAATTGTCATTAGAATATTTTAGACAATGAAATGATACAAAAAAAAAACTTTCCTAAAGTGAAGGAAAAGGATAAACAGGTGAAATAGGTAGTTCTTGATAACTGGCTATTTGGTGATTAAGAACTTGTGGAGCCATCTATGTGTAAATGCAATAAATAAACGTGTATCAAAGTGGGTATGGCATCTATTCTTGCCACGTGGGGCGAATATATGTATCTGATATATTAATATCAGATACAAAACTGGCATAGAGAAAAACACTTACACAGACCACAGATAGAAACAGATCCAGAAGATGCAATAATCAAAAAAATTAAAATAAAATAAAAAAAGAAAAGAAAAAGAAAAAGAAAAGAAAAATGAAAAAAGAAAGAAAAAATAAACAGCAAAACACTTGCTATAACATACATTGCCCAAGACAAAGAACAATAAAAATTTAGAACTGACACAATAAATCTACTAATCACAGGAACAGATCAAATGCCAATAAAGATGTTCTGAATAATGATACACACAAAGACATTCCTACAAAGATCAATAATATCTATATGATTAAAAAACTATCAAGGAGTATAGACTTTAATATAATTTAAAACCCTATAAAAAGAAAAAGAAATAAAGAGAGAAGGAAAGAAAGAGAGAAAGAAAGAAAAAAGAAAGAAAGAATGATAGAAAGAAAAGAAAGAAAAAAGGAAAGAAGGAGAGAAAGAAAGAAAGAAAAAAGAAAGGAAGAAAAAAAGGAAAGAAAGAAAAGAAACAAAAAAAAAGGAAAGAAGGAAAGAAAGAAAAGAAAGAAAAAAAGAAAGAAGGAAAGAAAGAAGGAAAAAAAGAAGGGAAAGAAAGAAAGACGAAGTAGAGAATAAATCATCATATCTCAGGAGATGATAAAAGCACATAGCCTGGCAAAATTGCAACACAACACGCTCTGCAACTGCAACATCCGCATAGCCGACCTTAAGGGTCACCCAGGTATCTTGTTCTACATCTTCCAGGCCCGACGTTGCACTTTTTTGCCTCCCAGATCCAAGGTCTTTGTCATCTGCAAATTTACGTTCATTGAATTAGATTTGTTATCAGTCCTTACAAAGTTTTGATTGAATATGTTAAAGGAATTATTCAATGTAGGTAGTGATAGAATTAATTGATAAAATGATACCTAATACATTACATTGATAAAAAGGAAATGAAAGAGAGAGAGAAAAAAGTTTCATACTAATTGCATGATAAAAGTCTTAACATTATGATCACACATACACGTACGCACACGCACGCACGCACACGCAAGCACGCACACAAACACACACACACACACACACACAAACACACACACACACACACACGCACTCTCACACACACACACACACACACACACACACACACACACACACACACACACACACACACACACACACACACACACACACACACACACACACACACACACACACACACACACACACACACACACACACACACACACACACACACACACACACACACACACACACACACACACACACACACACACACACACACACACACACACACACACATGTATTTTATTAATATCTTTTAATTCCACAACCACACTTGCTCCTGTTTAAGACCCAGCGTAATATGTCACAGATCTATCTCACCTACACGCTGGTGAACCTCGAAAGAGCTGTCGTTGCGCAGAATCGGAGAAAAATGAACAATTTCGTGACATTTTGTTATAATTTTACTTCAGGTTTCCTGGGGATGACGAGCTATAGATGATAGAAGGGTGGAGTTTGAATCTATAGAGTTCGATGTTCTTTTGTTTATTGTTTTTCTTTGGGGCTTTTTTTTTTAATTGTTTGTTATGTTGTAGTGTTATTATCAATTTATATAGATATTAGAGTTTTTTTTTAAAGACTATGAGATATAATTGTGAAGGGAGATAATTAATTTAAAAGGGTTTTGTTGTTCAATGTTTTCGAACCCTATCATGTCAATTGTATTTCGATTCTCTTAAATACATATAATTCATCATCTATAGCGTTTGCAAGAGCAGACGAAATGCTGATTTTCTTTTTTTTTAAGGGAAACTAATCCATTTTTATCTTTATTAATCATTTAAAGATCTATTTGTCGTCTGTCTTTTGATGAAATGCTTCTCTCATTTAACTGAATATTTCTTTTTCCATCGAACATTCAATAATAAAAAAACAACTTATTTGCCTATCTGTCTTTTCAATCATTGCCTGGTTTATCTATCTATCCGTTTAATCTATTTTATCTATCTTGTTCTTATTCTTAATCTTAGTTTATTAATTTTCTTATTCAACCACCCATTATTCTTTCCTTTCATAGAAAATAGTAAATGAAAATAAAATAAATATTCTTCACTTTCATATATATATATATATATATATATATATATATATATATATATATATATATATATATATATATATATATATATTACATTTGTTGCAATGAATAGGAGAGAAGAAAAGATAGATAAGGGGGGGGGGAAGAAAGGGAAAAAAATAAATTATTCGGTCAAGAATACCTATTTTATCCTTTATTGATAAAAAAGAATTGAAAGTGAATAAACAAGATAAATAAATATATACATAAATAAATAAGTGCATAAATACGCCAATAAACACATGGATAAATAGACAATAAATAAACAAATAAACAAACACGTAAATAAATAAGATGAAATGAAAAAGGAAAATTAATTGCCTCAGTTGCCATTTCATTAGGTTGAGTAGATTTGGCCTCTTTAATTCACGCCAGGAATGACTATAGACGTCTTCGGAAGCAATACATTTGGGAAATTAAGAAAGAAAGAAATAGAGAAAGAAATAGAGAAAGAAAGGAAT